ATAAGTGATTTAAAAACCCAAAGATATACTAGAACAGGGGAACGTAAGACGCAACGTGCATACGAGACACCCTGCAAGTATATAGAAAAAAAAGGGCGAGAAAATATTTCCTTTTGGCGGGAAAAATATTTCCAAGCGTAGTTACAGCAAACGCCCCGTAAAAGCACAGTTTATTAGAGAGAATAAACAGTAATAAATATCACCGAATGGTCGAAGAAACAGGAACGCTTGAGAAGTTTATTGTACGTCTTGCTAGAGCAAGCGAAGAGACAAGAGTGAAGGGTGTCACATGGCAGCTAGGTGGCTACGCACGTGCTGCATGAGGTAATTAAGATCTCTGTGGTAGATTTCGCTATAGCAGCAGTTGTGGGAGACAACAGCCTCGGTATAACAGTGGTAACGTATTACTTAATGTAATTATGGATGCGACAGGACAACTGCACGCGTCAGTTGAACTGCGATTGAAGTGTGGTCGACGTATAGTTTAGTTACAGAGCAACTCGCAGTATACAAGGTGACTAAAACAGCATGTTTAATGCTCTTCGACCCACAAGTAAGTATCGATGCAACAGGACAACTGCACACGACAGTTGAATTGCAATCGAAGTGTGGTCGGCTTATAAATTAGTTACAGAACAACTCGTCGTATCCAAGGTAACTAAAAATAGCATGGTTAATGCTCTTTGACACACAACTAATTATCGATGCGACAGGAAAACTGCACACGTAGTTAAATTGCAATTGAAGTGTGGTCGGCGCATAATTTAGTTACAGAGCAACTCGCAGTATACAAGGTAACTAAAAAATACGACCTGTGCTATAAAGTATGGGAAGACGATGCATACACCGAATAACCATAATAAAAAAGCCAAAGTACTGCACACAACAAAAAACCATGAGAATGCGTACATTCACTAACAGCTTTTATTGTAACACGAAGTGTCGAGCAAAAAGTCCAAAGTGAAAAAAAGCACAAATTCACTGTCTATTCTGACATATTCTGAGATATGTTGTGCCAGCACGAGTGGACCAAACTGTTTGAGTCCTTCAACATCTTCTGTGGAGATATCTCTGAGATAATGCGAAGCAAACACTGAAGTAGATCTCCAAAAGCAGCCCTCCATAATAGCTTGCAGCGAACAATTACTGTGGAGTGCTAATGTTGAAGCTATGGCTCGAACTTCGTGCGGATGAGAGGAGGTGGGAGGTGCGAGTCCTTGCGCCTCGTAAGCTCTGAGAATTGCCGCTCTCAACAAAAAGGAGAGAGTATTACGTGTAATCTCTTTCTTTGCATTGGTTGAGAGCAGTATGAACAGCCGTCGAAAATGTTGTCGTCGCTGTTCAGATCACTGCAGGTAAATACGAAGCGCACGAACTGGGCACAGGTTGAGATCAGCGTGATCATGAGGGCCAATAATAGCAGACAAGGAAGGAATGTGGAACATTCTCGAATCTTGGCCAGGAAGTTGATTTTTCGCTAAAAAAATCCCATCGTGGTCCCATGCAAGTGGGTCTGGAACCGGCGACACGAATCGAGGGAGGCGGTTGTTGTACCGGGTTGCGAAGAGATCGACTTGGGGAGACCAGAGTAGATCTGTCAGCAGATGAAAGACTGTCGGATGGATCATCCACTCCGTGGGAGACAGCCTCGATGGTCTCAACAGGGCGTCGGCTATCACATTCTTGGCCCCCGGGATGTGACGGGCGCCTACGCCCATGTCCAAGTCGTCTGCGAGGGCGAAGAACCTGAATGTCCGGTCCAAAAGGACGCAGTGGACGACTGTGGAGTTGTCCGGCTGTATCATCAGCCGTTTCCGACGGAGTCGAAGTTTCCAGAACTCGACCTCCCGAATCACTGCTTCCATCTCGAGGCAGTTGATGTGGAGGACCTTTCTACTGGCGACCACAGCCCAGCCGCTTGGTCGTCCCCGAACTGCGCTCCCCAGCCTTCCAATGACGCGTCTATGAATAGGTGTAGTATGAACGGAGGCTCACTCATAAAGACGCCTTCGCAAACATTCGACGGCTGGAGCCACCACTCCAGATGACAACGTAGCTGCGCCAGAAGTGGAACCAGGAGGTTGGGAAACTCCAGGTGGGGGTATAGCAATCTCTGCAGCGGACGAAGTTGAAGACGCCCTCGGCGAGTCAGGTCTTGGGCCGATGTCAACAGACCGAGGACTTCCTGCCACATGTGCACCAACGCCGGGGCATGTAGAAGTCTCGGAACGCTGTTGACAATCTTGTCCCAACGGTCTTGAGGTACCTTGACCAGATTGACTCCCGTCTGGAAGCGTATCCCGATGTACTGTAGATCCCGAGTTGGTACCAAGTCCGACTTTTGAAGGTTGACGATCCACCCCACATACTGTAGTAGATTCAGGGTGGTCGTTAACTCTCCTTGAAGGGCTTCTGTGAACTGGTCTAGGTAGAAGGCGACCCTGATCGCCTGCCGGTGGAGCCATTCTACGACCGTCTTCATGATCCGTGTGAAAATGCACGGGGCCGTAGAAATTCCAAAGGGGACGGCCGCCCACTGGTAATGAATACCTTGGTATTCGAATCGGAGGAACTTCTGGAACTCGGAAGCTATTGGTACATGTAGATACGCGTCCTGAAGGTCTATCGAGACGAGGAAGTTGTTCGGTAATATCATCCGACGAAGAGAGCTGAGGGATATCATGGTGAATGTGTCTGGTTGTTGCGTTGAACTTTTTGAGATTGAAAATAAGCCGCATCATTGTGGAGTTTTTCTTGGGTACTAGAAAGATGGGCACGTAGTACCCCGGCGATGGTGCCGATGTCCCTAGGCGAAGTACTGCCGCCTTTTCCTTCAATGAATCGATGGCCTCAGTCAGCCGATCCGTTGGTGGAGTGTGGAATGTCGGGGATGACATCAGTGGAGGCGTCGATCTCAGGCGTGGGGCGTAGCCTGTTGTCAAAATGTTCTGAATGTAAGGGTCGTTGAGGAAAGCCCGCCTGTGGGCATAGTGATGAAGTCTCCCCCCTACCGGTAACTCATCTAAAGGTAGTGTCACCAGGGGGGCGACTCCAACGACAGTGACGGCGGGGGAAGGTTCTTCACTTCTTTCCCCGACGGCTCTGTCCCCCCCTGGGATTCTTGGAAAAGGAGACCTGGGGACCTTTTCTGTCCGCATCTCTCTCGCGGGACGGCTGTCGAGGCGTGTCCCTACGAAAGGCCCGTTGCACATTCTCGTTTCTATAACATCGTCGTGGGGCGTTCGAAACCGGTGGCCGTCTGGACAGGTTGTGTGAAGCCGAAATGATGATGTCATGCTCGGCTTCCTTGGAGTATTTGTCCAGAACATCGTTGGTACGACTGTTAAACAACTGTTGCGATGACCACGGGGCCCGTGGAGTGTCCTGCCATGACGATCAGGTAGTTCAGTGCAGTCGATGTAGCCATGACGACATGCCGAAGTAATCTGGCCCGATACATATCAGGACTGGGCAAGGACGTCCGAGATCCACCGTTGCATACAGGTGAGGACGGATTGCACCGTCCTTTCGTCCTCGTCCTGGGAGTGTTTCTCCTCACAGTAGATGTGGGCGTAGATGAAGGAACTGGTGTACTGGTCGATGGTCCATGGACCTCCGACGTAGTCGAATCGTTCTTGGTTGACGCCGTCGAGGCGAGTACCGCCGCCGTGATCTGGGCTATCAAAGCCGGGTCGATATGAAAGTGAGATGAGGGTGTCGATCGGTCATTATCTCTACGACGCTGATCTCCCAAATACTCCCTTCGACAGTGTCGCACGTCCCCGTGGGGACAAGGGCAACGATCTCTAACTGTAAATGTACTACGATCCCCATCGTAGTTATCGTCCGAATCGAGCTCTCCACGACCACGAAGGCGACGAACGTCCTCGTGTCGTTTACTGTCTCTCGACGAGGCACTCGACCTGTCATCCCGGGAACGGGAACGACTTCTAGAGAGGGATCTGTGTTCACTGTCATCCCGCACGACGTCCCTATCGTCGTTGGTAGGACAGGAGACGGACCGACTGGGGACCGTAGTCCCCTCATGGTCCTCGTCACGACCCGGTCCCGTCGTAACGGGGTTGGGTGAGTGATGCTCTCGATCAACCGATTGACGAAGATCAGTCGTGCGGGTAGTATCATCAGCAGGCGAACGGTCACGTGTCTTGTCAGAAACATAAGTTGACTGAGGCGGGACTTTATCAACTGATTTCTTGGGTGTGGTCGACTCGCCACCCCCAGGGCCAGATGAAGGGGGTGCAGAGTCCAAGGATCCACCCGATGACCTTCTCTGCTTGTAGCGGTGGTCAGTAGCCCGCTTCGCCAACGCACGAAGATACAAGTTAAAGTTTATAGAAGACAAGTGCTCACATTCTTTACAACGTTTATCTCACGAACACGTTGAAAACCCGTCCTTAATTATGCAGGAAGGACAATACTTGTGAGGATCTACTTTAGACAGTTTCTTTGACACGAGGTACAAATGCCCGACATGTTGCCACGTGTATAATCAAGGAGGTATTAAGAATGAACAGCCCCTCATATAGGAGGTATTAAGAATGAACAGCCCCTCATACAGAAGGTATTATGAATGAACTGACCCTCATATAGGATGTATTAAGAATGAACAGCCCCTCATATAGGAGGTATTATGAATGAACTGACCCTCATATAGGAGGTATTAAGAATGAACAGCCCCTCATACAGAAGGTATTATGTATGAACTGGCCCTCATATAGGAGGTATTAAGAATGAACAGCCCCTTATATAGGAGGTATTATGAATGAAATGACCCTCATATAGGAGTTATTAAAAATGAACAGCCCCTCATATAGGAGGTATTATGAATGAACTGCCCCCTCATATAGGAGGTATTATGAAGGAACTGGCCCTCATATAAGAGGTATCATGAAGGAACTGCCCTCATATTACAAGGATGAACATTGTATGTGGCAGTTTCTGTTTGTTAGATATCAGTGCTTGGCATAACCTTCACTCACGTAGCACTGGTGACGAGCGGAGACAGGAAGCGGCCGTGTTCCAGGTTCAGTCGGTAGATTTCAGGGCTGTTGACAGAGAACATGACAAGAACGTCTTCATTTGAGCAACATAATATCAATAACAATAAGGTCAAGGAATGGTGAGTGAGTGAGTATGGTTTTACGCCGCTTTTAGCAATATTCCAGCAATATCACGGCGGGGGACACCAGAAATTGGCTTCACACATTGTACCCATGTCGGGAATCGAACCCGGGTCTTCGACGTGACGAGAGAAACGCTTTAACCACAAGGCTACCCGGCCCCCCCCAGGTCAAGGAATAAAAGGGTGGACACAACTATAAAATCGGGTAAAAAATACAACATCTAAATACACACTAAAGTAATTGTTTCTGGTCTTGTAAATTTCTTGATAATTATATATTTGATATTCTTGATATTCTTGATATACTTGACATGTACAGTCAGCTTCTGTTTGTGGTCACTATATCAACATACTGTTGTCCTTGGTTGTTGATTACTCTTTTTCATGCATTCACTTATGTTGTTTTTGTTAATCGTTACCAGATGTATATCCACCCCAACCATGCTGTCGTACTTCCCACTTGCTAGACAAGGGTATAAGGATCTATACCGAAACATTGCATCATAACAGAATAAAGAAGCTGTCATCCCTAAAATATCTTGTGTTTACTGTTACTTGCCAACTTCTAAATATGCCAATCAAACAGGAGATATATTACCCTGGATAACCGAGATATGTCTTTCTATTAACTCACCTTACTCCCACAAAGTAGACGTCACAGCTGGGGTAGTGGTAGGCAAGGTCACGGCCATACTTGGGGATTCGGGTTCTGTAGTGGCGACCGAACTGTGTGTGGAACTCAACATATCTCTCATCTTCTAGGAACAATACCTGTCAATCAACATCAAGTTCAGCTACAGCTATATTGTGACGATCAATGTCAATATTTGTATCTATGACATCAAGAGCATCGATCTATCCAATTAGGATATGATGACTTGCATCAACTAAGACAGCTAGCTTGACCAGCTCACAGAATGGCATGATGTAGGAGCAGATACTGGGGCGACTAAGGGACATAACCCTTGACCTGTGTCCCTCACAGAACAGCATGATGTAGAAGCAGATACTGGGGCGACTAAGGGACATAACCCTTGACCTGTGTCCCTCACAGAACGGCATGATGTAGAAGCAGATACTGGGGCGACTAAGGGACATAACCCTTGACCTGTGTCCCTCACAGAACGGCCTGATGTACCACTGTCCAGGTCGTCTCTCACCTTTGTGTAGTCCTCCGACAGAACCAGAAACTTGAGAACTTCAGCGTCCAACCCTCGTTCGAACTTGAGGGACAGCTGGTGGACGTCATAACATCGCAGTCGAGGCTTGTAAGTACCTTCGCAGGGACAACAGACATATTAAACCTGTTTTCATTTCAATATTTGACTAACCTGCACTTGTAGTTCTAGGTATGTAAAGTGATAACACTGTACTGAAACCCTACTGAGGTTAGGTTTACCTGTGGTTAGAATGTATTGTCCATCTCTAGACACCTGGACACATCGACTCACTGCTGGCATCTCAAAGTCTTGAATAAGTTCAATTCTCCTTTGAATATCTGTAGGTATGACGAAAATTTATCAATCCAAACATAGCCATGGTAAAAAGCAGACATATTGTTATCTATTCAGCTAATATACATAGTGATCTGTCTGTCTGTCTGTCTGTCTGTCTGTCATAGTTGGATCATGTGTTTATTGCAGATGCATAAATAAAATACAAAGTTGACAAAGAAAACCTGTACACAAAGTCTTCATGTCATTTACAATTATGGGGCGGTCGGGTAGCCTAGTAGTTAAAGCGTTCGCTCATCATGCCGAAGACCCAGGTTCTATTCCCGAGGTGGGTACAATGTGTGAAGCCTGTCTCTGTAGTACCTCGCCGTGATATTGCTGAAATATTGCTAAAAGCGGCATAAAACCATACTCACTCACCCATTTACGATTAACACAAAATGCCCAACTCACCAACATCACTTTTCCGCAACTTTCTTTTCTTCCTGTCTGACAACCACTGAAAGGCACAAACTCAATATATTCTGACATATTTGAAAGAGAGAGAGAGAGAATTTTAAATCTGTCACTTGGAGCTGCCATAGAATATGTTTGCCACTATTTTCATCCAAGGATCCAAGGGCTAAGGACTGAGGGTAAACCATCCCATCCCTAACACAACTAACCCTAAAGCTTGAAGATGCACTCAAGATCGAAAAATTTTCGTGGGATACATGTAGTTCTTATGCTAATATTTAGTGGGCGTCAAGCAGATTCTATAATCACACCTTTGAAGAGTACTGCACTTTTACGGTGCAATTTTTTCATTTTCAACTAGCACCACATGGAGGACGGAACTCAGCAGCTAAAGAGTTAATCTAAGTAGCCAACACTTTACCACAGGACCACGGGCGCTATTACAAATAATTAGTGCTTCTTTCCTAAGTGATCCGCAGCTGAAGAGTTAATCTTAGTAGCCAACACTTTACCACAGGACCACGGACGCTATTACAAATAATTAGTGCTTCTTTACCAAGTGATCCGCAGCTGAAGAGTTAATCTTAGTAGCCAACACTTTACCACAGGACCACGGGCGCTATTACAAATAATTAGTGCTTCTTTCCTAAGTGATCCGCAGCTAAAGAGTTAATCTTAGTAGCCAACACTTTACCACAGGACCACGGCGCTATTACAAATAATTAGTGCTTCTTTCCTAAGTGATCCGCAGCTGAAGAGTTAATCTTAGTAGCCAACACTTTACCACAGGACCACGGGCGCTATTACAAATAATTAGTACTTCTTTCCTAAGTGATCCGCAGCTGAAGAGTTAATCTTAGTAGCCAACACTTTACCACAGGACCACAGGCGCGATTACAAATAATTAGTGCTTCTTTCCCAAGTGATCTGCAGCTGAAGAGTTAATCTTAGTAGCCAACACTTTACCACAGGACCACGGACGCTATTACAAATAATTAGTGCTTCTTTCCTAAGTGATCCGCAGCTGAAGAGTTAATCTTAGTAGCCAACACTTTACCACAGGACCACGGGCGCTATTACAAATAATTAGTGCTTCTTTCCCAAGTGATCCGCAGCTGAAGAGTTAATCTTAGTAGCCAACACTTTACCACAGGACCACGGGCGCTATTACAAATAATTAGTGCTTCTTTCCTAAGTGATCCGCAGCTAAAGAGTTAATCTTAGTAGCCAACACTTGACCACAGGACCACGGCGCTATTACAAATAATTAGTGCTTCTTTCCTAAGTGATCCGCAGCTGAAGAGTTAATCTTAGTAGCCAACACTTTACCACAGGACCACGGGCGCTATTACAAATAATTAGTACTTCTTTCCTAAGTGATCCGCAGCTGAAGAGTTAATCTTAGTAGCCAACACTTTACCACAGGACCACAGGCGCTATTACAAATAATTAGTGCTTCTTTCCCAAGTGATCTGCAGCTGAAGAGTTAATCTTAGTAGCCAACACTTTACCACAGGACCACGGACGCTATTACAAATAATTAGTGCTTCTTTCCTAAGTGATCCGCAGCTGAAGAGTTAATCTTAGTAGCCAACACTTTACCACAGGACCACGGGCGCTATTACAAATAATTAGTGCTTCTTTCCCAAGTGATCCGCAGCTGAAGAGTTAATCTTAGTAGCCAACACTTTACCACAGGACCACGGGCGCTATTACAAATAATTAGTGCTTCTTTCCCAAGTGATCCGCAGCTGATAGTTTGCCTGTAGGAACATGTGCAGCAGAGTGTTTGATACTTGATAAAACTGTACAGACCTTCCTCAAATTACATTTGATTCATTTTTTAAAAGAGATAGCTAACACTATCCCTACCTCATAACGAACCCCAAGGATCATAAAAGGGGGCTTGAACGTGAAGGGAATCCAAGCGCTAAAGATTGAGTTATGGGTAACCTTAACCCTAACACAAGGTCTGCGAAGATATACTAAAGAATTTATTTCTTGAGATATATCTATTTTCTATAGTACTATTGGCTTGTGAACAGATTCTATCATCGCACCTAAGGATCACAATGGGGTGTTTGACCCTCATGAAGGTTTGATCAGAGAGGGGCGTGATCACAAATTAGTGCCTGATTATTAAGTCATCAGCACCTGTTTAATCACCTTTATGCACATGCGCAGTAGATATTTTGGGAGTATCAAATTTCAACAAGTATTTGTCACAGAGTGACGAAATATCCCCCGCCTGTACACCATACTACCAAATATGAAGACAATCCAGCGATTAGTTCTTGAGATATTGTGGCAACACCGTTTTCCAACTCCAAAAACAGATTTGCCTGCTGTGACCTTGAAAATGGGGTCAAGGTCACCAAATCTGACAGGTGTATGCGGTGTCTGTATATACACTATAGTTCCAAATATGAAGACAATCCAGCGATTAGTTCTTGAGATATCGCGGCAACACCGTTTTCTAACTCCAAAAGCAGATTTGCCTGCTGTGACCTTGACAATGGGGTCAAGGTCACCAAAACCGACTGGTGTCTGCGGTGTCTGTATATACACCATAGTTCCAAATATGAAGACAATCCAGTGTTTACTTCTTGAGATATCGCGGCAACACTGTTTTCCAACTCCAAAAGCAGATTTGCCTGCTGTGACCTTTAAAATGGGATCAAGGTCACCAAAACAGACTGGTGTCTGCGGAGTCTGTATATACACCATAGTTCCAAATATGAAGACAATCCAGTGTTTAGTTCTTGAGATATCGCGGCAACAAACAGGTGGGACGTACGGACGGACGGACGGACGGTCGTGAATACTATATCCCCCGCTTCGCGCTTTCGCGCGGCGGGGGATAATAAGCATGGCATAGAGGATGAAACTCACATTGCCAGCTTGAAGTTAAGCTACGCTACTGACTTAATCTAATTAGCCAACACTCTACCTTGGTCTTTATCACAAATACTTTGTGCTTGTTTACCAAGACATCACCACCATTTGTTTACATATATGTGCATGCACTGTAGCCATTTTCTCTGCCGAAACTTACAACTTAATAAAAATTTACAGAGTTTCTACAAATTAATAGGTGCCCAACTCTAAGGATCGTGAAAGGGTGTTTGATGGGAAAGAGGTACCTAACCCTATCCCAAAGGGTGTTTGATGGGAAAGAGGTACCTAACCCTATCCCAAAGGGTGCTTGATCGGAAAGAGGTACCTAACTCTATCCCAAAGGGTGATTGATCGTGGAGGGGTGCTTGATTGTAAAAGGGTGCAGGATTAACCTAATCTAACCCCAACACAACATAAGTGAGGACTGAAGAGGTACGCAAGATCTGTGAAGTCAGCATTCTGAGCCAAAAAGCACTATAGTATGGTAAACTTTCTTGAAATGTTATAAAAATGGTACAGATCTTCCTCAAATTACATTGGATTAATTTGCTAACAGAGATAGCTAACCCATACCCTACCTCAGAACTAACACTGAAGAGGTTGTTGTCACCACGGGTACTACAGCTATGTACCCCAGGTATACAGAAATGTACCCTAGCCAAAATCAGGATAGAGAAAAGTAGCCTAGGAGGAGTCAATTCCGCCTCTTTTGTGCGATGCACTTACGTGGTTACTTGCATGGTTCCATACACGTCTTGGATCCAGTAAAATTCAACATCATTTCCATAAATGGATCAGAACTGTTGTGTGAGATGCATTCCAGTGTGACATAAAAAAATGAGCATACACAGTGACGTACGTACTGCATTATCCAGAATGCACTCGTTATCAGGCGAACCAGAGCAACAAGATGAACCGGTTTCGGGTTGAGGAATATGGACTCGTCCGTCGTTTAGGCTACCCCCTACCTTTCAGTATTCTGATTTGGGCTAAGGTACATTTCTGTATACAGAACTGTACGTACGTGAGGTACAAATATCTGACAACGACTCCTTCAGCACAACTAACCCTAAGGATCGTAATGGCGTGCTTGATTATAAAGATCCAAGAGCTGGAAACTATCACAACAAAACAAGGTGCTATGTGTGTGCTATAGGGCCTATAATTTATAGCATAAACAAAACCATTGGAAGTGTCTGGGCTCCTCAAACATATTTAGTTATTTCAAATAAAGAGTTTACAGAACGAAGACTTACTTCTGGAAGAGATTTTCCAGCACTTAAATTGTAGATCTTAATATTATTCGTGTTGGAGACTTGCATCTTTCCTTTTTACGAACACACATAAACACAAGCACGTGTTACATGAGGAACTCCAGGTTGATATTACCGGATGTGATGGACAGTGAGAGCTCCGAACAGCGATATCACCCTATAAACGCCATGCGGTAGAGCGCGTATTTCCTCTGACCGTCCTCCGTGTGTGTCACTGTGTGTTTGTGTGTGTGTGTGTGTTGCGCTGGTTGCAAACAGGTCCTGCTCGGATCAGTGCATCAATGTGTGGTAGGCTCATTTCCCGAGCGAAAGCGATTGAAATACCTGAATTCCGACACAATTTATTTTTCCACTTTATGATTTAGTTTGAAGGGAATATATTATCTTAAATCAATATTGAAAACTGTGTGGAGAAACCAACTTGGTGAGAATGGCGCCAACAATGATGTTTGTTATTTCAGGCCGCACTCAGCAATTTTCCAGCTATATGACGGCTGTCTATAAATAATCGAGACTGGACGAGACAATCCAGTGATTCATCATGAGCATCGATCCACGCAATTGGGATACGATGACATGCATCAACCAAGTCAGCGAGCCTGACCACCCGGTCCCGTTAGTCGCTTCTTAGGACAAGCATAGTTGCCTGCCAACAATGACCCTAACCCTGCCAACAATGACCCTAACCCTGCCAACAATGACCCTAACCCTGCCAACAATGAGAGTCTGTAGTCTCTACTATTGCGACTAATACAAATCACAGAAAACATTACTATTATTGGTTTGATGTTTAACGCCGCACTCAGCAATTTCTCAGCTTTATGATGGCGACCTGTAAATAATCGAGTATTGACCAGTCAATCCAGTGATTGACATCATGAGCATCGATCTACGTCATTGGGATACGATTACAGGTATCATCCAAGTCAGCAAGCCTGACCACCCGAGCCCGTTAGTCTCCTTAATGACGGCAAGAATGATGCTGAAGACGTATTCTCGCCCGGATCTTCAGGGGCCGCAAAGAATCTCGGTGAGTGAGTGAGTTGGGTTTAACGCCGCTTTTAGCATCGCAATCGTTACCATGACGTCACTATAAAATGAAATCGCTATCTGCCACTGAAGCTGGTTAGCGGTATTTTTAACACTCTGCTCGTGTAGGTATATTTGATATCAAATGGTGAAGCTCTTTATATGCCCTACAAATACGTGTAAACGACAGGTTGAAAGTTTTAGTTCTGACTATCATGGAGACATCCCTTGTTCAACAGAGGCAGGTCGCGGTCAGGTCGACAGACATGAAGCCTGCACATCACAACATACCAGGTCAGAAAATACTGTAATGGTTCGTGCTGCACGGGCATTCGTCAACTGGTTCCGTTGACAATTACCTAACGGTAAATCTGTATTTGATGACGTTATCTGAGGTAAGGTGAAATGGGGTTTAACGTCGCGTCCAAGATTATTGCACTTAGATAGTGACGTGCATGCACGTGTGTGTGTGTGTGTGTGTGTGTGTGTGACTGTGTGTGTGTGTGTGTGTGTGTGTGGCTGCTTGTACTAGTCCGGACTGATGCCGATTTATAGTGCTAGCCCACTGAGATACCATGCCGCAGTTTAACATGAATACCCCACTCAGACACATTATACTGACTCCGAGCCGACCATTCCATGTTTTAGCCCCTCAATGTCGAGCGCCAGACAAGGTAACAAAAAGTACCATCTTTCAACGTCTTTAAAGTGACGCGGCCCGGGATCGAACATGAATATACATGATTTCCAGATTTACATAATAACCAAATATATGCTAAAGCGTTTGTACGACACTTTAATACCCTTTTCATAAATAACCGTCTATAAACAAATATGAACAGCTATAGCGTCCCGGTGAGAGGCCACAGTTCGATTTTGCATGGTTCCTAGGCCATGTTCAACGTTCTATCTTTAAATATTTCTTGTGAACTGATGTGTCAGGCATTTCTGTCAGACCTACTAAGTATACGTATGCAGAACTAGTCCAACGATTTTCTGCTATTTTTTGTTGTTGAATTGGATAATTTACTGAACGCCCCTTTTCACTTCATAGTGATAGTGTGTCGGATTCCGTCGCTCGGCAGTGAAGAGATCCGGTCGCGGGTTCGAATCCTAGATTCAACTCCATTGCATGATTTCACACAAGTTGTTCACTTTTACAACCTTTGACCTTTCCATCCAAAGCATGTGTGGCTTTTAATCGCAAACATAATAACAGGGCAAGCTCCTTGCACAAAAATCGATATCCGGCGTTTTAATCGAGGAATCAGGGTACTCGTGTCCCTTTTGCATCGGAAACTATTCTGGCGCTTGAAACCAGTTATACTGTTTTATTTCCTCCATCGATGTAGTAATACAACACAAATAAGGCGACTTCTGCTCGTCGTTAGAGGCAACAAACGGCATCGGGAGGTCAGACTCGCTGAGATTTGTTGATGCATGTCATTGTATCCCAATGTGCTTGATTCGATGCTTATGATGTCAATCACTGGATTGTCTGATCCCGACTCGATTATATAAAAAAAACGCGGTCATATAGCTGGAATATTGCAGAGTGCCTCGTTAAACAACTAACAAACGAAATTAAAATATTAGCATGGTGCATTGCAATTATTTGTGTATTTCACGTTTTGTTTCAGTGTTGTAAATGGTTGCACGGTCTGCTTTGCCCGTCAGAAATGGCGTGTCATTGTACCTCGATCATATTGTCAGCTTCCTTCAAACCAACCTCGTGATGTGGATGTGTAATGACAATATTTATGTATCTATCTATTCAACCATTCAGCGACCTTTATAAAGACTAGTACATGTTGTATGACGTGTATGACGCAATAGAGACACAAATAAGCGACACTAGTACTGTGTATATGGGCTCAAGTGATGCATTCAGTCAGTTTTCTCATTATGCCGTGTGGGACCGCATTGCACACTATATTTAGAAAATATTCCGCAAGGCAGTGTATTTTATTTCGTTGCCACAACTACAGTGATTATAATGTCAACATTTGCATATCTGTAAAAATATGTCAATGACGAATCTTAAGTGATACTGTTCGCGTACAAACACAATTGATATTGGGACTATTTCTATGTCGCGTAGAGATATCTATATCTAGAAACAGGAAGTGCCGCCATTAACTGTAAAAGTGAAATACGTTGTCAGCTGTGCGTGAAAACAAACTTGTTTTCACACCTATACTTCTCAATGATGCGACTCAAGTTTGACCAAAGCGATCCCCAGTCGTATCGCTGTTGTATCTGCTGCCATGTCAAGACTGGTACCATTCTCCTTGGCTTGTGGAACTTGGTCAGTTTTCTCGTTTCGTTTTGTGTAATGACTTACCTAATGTAACCATCAACAAAAGCCTATATCCGTGTTGCGTTTTTGATAGATAACATGCCGCCTCTAACCTCTAGATATCCGTTCCAAGTTCACTGATAGGCCCCACTGTTACGGTGGTATTTAATATTTATATTTGACAATAATTGTGGGTTGTGTAAATTGTAACGTCGATTGGATCTAATGGACTAATGACATGAAACCATCGAACAAGATGTTGCTTCCGGCAGGTCTACATCACGGGTCCCTGGATATATATATATGGGTCCGGTGTTTCAGTAATATGACTATCTTGCTTCGGGGGCTTGTGGTCTACGCTGAAAGTACTAACAATCAGTTTGTCATTGTTTTGTTGTGACTTGTTATGTTTCTCCATGGGTATCATGGACATGACACACATCTAACTAGGGTCACTGTCCTACACTCACTCACTCTCTGTGTAGAGTTTCGTGTTTAATTCTTAACTGTTAAAGGATCTGCTGATTGTGGATTCGAATTCCCAGATTCTCCCTGAGTTGATTTTGTGCCTTGGTTTATCCTTAGAAGTATATACAACCTGTGATCCTGGCTTTTACTTAGAGGTGATTAACACCTATGACCTTTCTTCCCTCATAAGCGAACAGCGACATGCAGTCACGGGGTCCAACTGTCAAGACATGACCTATAGGCTTGTTATGATGACAGGCCATATCTGGACTGTTGGATCCAGCTGCCATCTCTGGTTGTAGGAGGCTGTAGATCTATGTATTCTCGAACATAAGATAAAAGAAAGTAAGGCGAAACCGCATTATCGTTGGTTCGAGAAGGCAGCTAACTCAGTTTGCCTAATCGAAAGTTCAAGGTGGGCCCACATTCGAAACTAAGCGCACTTGTTGTTGAGAATATGTACTACGTAAATAAACCTGCATTACGAACTGCTATTTTGTCTATTTAAAATAAGTATTATGACTTATAATTGGATTAGAATATATAAATGCGATGACAATACAGCAGAACACACTTCTATGAACATCACCAAACTAGGTCGTGTGGTCATTAATAGTCATGAGTTATTCCTTTAATGGAACAAGTTCTCGGAAAGGTTTGAGGCTTGTATCATGTCCAAGATCAATTCAAGTGTGGACATATTTTCAGGCTTATATCGTCACCAAAACTTACGATTAGATTGGTGTATTATACTGGAAAAAGTAGAATGAGTGGTAAATTTAATTTGAGGTAGATCTAAGTTTCTTGCTTTGTAACTATTTTTGTGTGGTCAGCTATGATGATGTTATTCAAACTTCAAAGACTTTGTGTGCCTTTCGTGGAATTAACATCACACTAAATAATTTATAAAGATATTTCCCATCAATATTACAAAACGAGAATAATATATAATGTCACATACCCATGCAAAGTAAGGACAAATGTGAGCCCACTAGCCTAAATGACTTAGTCAACCCAATGAAGCACAGTGATTTACAAATGTGGGCCCACTTGTTTCGATCACTATTAGACGGGAACAATGTGGGCCCACATTTTAGAAAATGGTTATCAGCACTAAACCAATCTTAGAAGATGTGCGGATGGAAACATAAATACATAATGCATTCAAACATTTAATTAAGAACATGTTTTACCTCAGGGATAACCTGGGCATTTAATAGCTGGACCAACAACGTACAGCGTGGGTGACGCAATTTCTCGCAAATATGAAAACAACAGAGATAGCTATTGTTTGAAATTAGAGTGAGCTCCCTTTCCCAATATGAACCACTGACAATACGGTCTCACCGAAAGTAATTTCATCTTTTCATCTAATATATCTGTTCATGACTCTACTTCTTAGATTGACGAATTATCATTTTAAAGCGACATTCACGCATTCTCTTCAGAGTTACATCCCTTGTATATAAATCTATAAATAACAAGCAACAAAGGGTAAGATTGGTACTTGAAATGTGTGTTCATTCTTAAAAATACTTTCTCATGTATGTCTGAGCACTTTCTCAGTTTCACTCGATAGTTCACGCTTTCACCTGACAAGTTCAGTTTCACCATTCAACTTAGTTGGCGACACTTTAAAACAACTGGTAAGTTGTGATGTTACTATGGTTGTGCCGTTCGTACTAGTCCCAGAGTTCATCATGTTCCTAGAACTTCTTGCCGCTCCTTTGGCTTCTTGGAGACTCGTCTCTCCAGCAGCCCATCTGCGAGAAGTCACATCTGCAGCGGGATGAGGTCTGCTTCTTCTTTCAGGAAAGGCACTAATGTGTAGAATGGGAGGTTTTTACGGCCAGCTCTCTGGTTTAGGCGATAGTGCCATGCCTCAAAGTTGTCATTGGTTCGGACTGCAACACCAAACATTGATCAGGGAGAGATCTTCCAAGTCTTTGGATCTAGGTCACCTCGAAGTAGGTGCAGAGGCCCTTTAATTCGCTGGTAGTGGCGGTGACCCAAATGTAGACTTGGTCAACGCAAAGACTGGAGGAGGGTGAAAGAAATTCGCTGGCGATGCTGGTAACGGCGATCGGTAGTAATCCTTGTTGAACTGTTGCATACAGTATGAAACAGTTCAACAAGGATTAATACTGATCTCCGTAGTATTACTACAGAACTTTTATCTGTATTTCATATACAATTGTTACACATACAAGATTACCCAAATTTTATCTTTATTCATAGTTTATGATATCCTGTGTCCTCATTTTCAAGTGAACACCTCACACAAGTGTAACCAATGTGTTGCCGCACCCATGTGAATGTGTTGCCATTAAAATTGCCTTATATAAAACTGTATGACATTGTTTTCCATGTACAAGATTACATACTTAACTGTGTATGAAATTACTGAATTTTGCGTGTGCGAGGCGTACAGGATTACGGCAACCTGTAGTGATGTAACTGCAGTACTCCTCAACATGGTGAGTGTGGTGGAATGTACATTACCATGACTACCATCCCCATCCCAGCTATATGTATAGGTTCTGTTGGAAATGATCAATTATTGTTATGAAAGAGATGGACACAAGTTGTAAAGTGGGTCTAAAGGGGTTTTACCACCATTTCAATATTTTCCATTGAAGCATTGCCTGCATTCATTGGTACTAACCATCAAGGGCAGAGATCCACAAAGTACATGTCTTCCCTTCTTGCTCCAGACACAATCTAAACTTACTGAAGGCTGGGCATCATGGGCTGCAGTATTAAATAGTATATTTAGATGTTGAACCATCCAAAATGGCCTTACAAAATGGCCTTACCCATCGCTAAGCAGTGTTAGCAACAAGCGCTTATGGACAAAGAGAGATAACTCTAGATATTGGAAGTGATAATGAATGTCAACAGTGTCAGAAAGTTGGGGAAATTTTAATGTTGGTAAGTGATAGAATGTTTGGTACATGCTACTACATCTGGCTAGGTCTGCGAGGATGTAACAGATATATAGAGTCAGCAGTTTGTCTGGATCGTGAATAAACAAGTCATGTTACATGCCGTGATACAAACTTTCAGCAGTTCACCAATTGTGCAGTTGTCAAGTAATGCCGGTATTATTAGGGCCATCATGCTCAAGTGTCATGCACTCTCTTGTAGTTGATGCAGCTGTTCCTCATAGGGATGCTGATTCTGGTGTCCTTCCATCCCGACATTCTGCAACCCAAACAGGGCCTCACCCAGGAGACGGATGGCATCATTGTTGCTGAGACTGGCAGAGACCAGGGCTTCCAGACATACCCATCCTTTGTGAAGAAATCACTCACCAAAGGTTCACTTTTTTTTCCTGCTGACAGACTAACGTAGAAATGTGTTAAGATTTGCAATTTCTATGGATCATGGGAGATGATAATTGTTATGTGGGTACATACAGCTGATGCGCAGTAGCTGGAAGTGATAATATTAATAAACAAGAATAAGCATGGGAAAGATAGCATCAGTGAGGAAAAGTGTCAATCATACCCAGCCCTGTACAATGCTATATTAACAATTATCTCTCTTCTCCCCCCACCCATATGTTAATGTTTTAGGTGTGAAGCTGAGTATGTATATGTCTATGTATTTGCAAAATGTGACTATATCCATGATGAAGGTTTTGATCAACAACTGTGACACCCCCCAAGTCTACCTATGTTATGATTTACCTTATGTTTTCAGTTATGTTTCAGTGAAGTGTGATCTGAATGGGTGGTAAATAGTTTATTAAACTGGTACAAGCTAAAATAAATAAACAATAACACTCATAAGTAAAATAATTAAACAAACAAAACAACAACAAAACAAAATTTAACAAACAATATATTTACCTTTAAATTATCAATGTATTAGTGAGTATGCACCTTTAACTTAGACTTAAATTTATACCAAAAATATTATTGTTTGTACCTTTATATAACCAAACATAATTTGTTTACGTTTTATAAATAGTGAAATTTTATGATAAAATAACAAATTTTGAAATAAATATATCTCATATATTACAAAATAAAAACTTACAAATACAGTGGACTTTCCACTCCATACTAAATCCTTTTCGATTTCTTTAAATCTTCAATGATTTCCTTTTAAATCCTTTCAACATGTCTGTCTTGAGAGAACATGCAGTATTGAATGACAGGAAGTAACTTTAATATCAGGAAGATACCCTGGGCATTCTGACATGGATTTTTTTTAACAAGAAAAAAACAAAAATGTAGTAAAAAAGAATAAAAGTTAAATATTTCAATACCAAGCTGAACTGAATGAATTTCTTTGAATAAAAGATTAATATACCAAAAAATTTAAATGTCAAAATAAGAGTAACAATCTGCACTACAGTATTCATGTCATGTCTGCACTACAGTATTCATGTCATGTCTACACTACAATATTCATGTCATGCCTGCACTACAGTATATATGTCATGTCTGCACTACAGTATATATGTCATGTCTGCCCTACAGTATTCATGTCATGTCTGCACTACAGTATTCATGTCATGTCTGCACTACAGTATTCATGTCATGTCTACACTACAATATTCATGTCATGCCTGCACTACAGTATATATGTCATGTCTGCACTACAGTATATATGTCATGTCTGCCCTACAGTATTCATGTCATGTCTTCACTACAGTATTCATGTCATGTCTGCACTACAGTATTCATGTCATGTCTGCACTACAGTATTCATGTCATGTCTGCACTACAGTATTCATGTCATGCCTGCACTACAGTATTCATGTCATGCCTGCACTACAGTATTCATGTCATGTCTACACTACAGTATTCATGTCATGTCTGCACTACAGTATTCATGTCATGTCTACACTACAGTATTCATGTCATGTCTGCACTACAGTATTCATGTCATGTCTGCACTACAGTATATATGTCATGTCTGCACTACAGTATTCATGTCATGTCTGCACTACAGTATTCATGTCATGTATGCACTACAGTATTCATGTCTTGTCTGCACTACAGTATTCATGTCATGTCTACACTACAGTATTCATGTCATGTCTGCACTACAGTATTCATGTCATGTCTGCACTACAGTATTCATGTCATGTCTGCGCTTCAGTATATATGTCATGTCTGCACTACAGTATTCATGTCATGTCTGCACTACAGTATATATGTCATGTCTGCACTACAGTATTCATGTCATGTCTGCACTACAGTATTCATGTCTGCACTACAGTATTCATGTCATGTCTGCACTACAGTATTCATGTCATGTCTACACTACAGTATTCATGTCATGTCTGCACTACAGTATTCATGTCATGTCTACACTACAGTATTCATGTCATGTCTACACTACAGTATTCATGTCATGTCTGCACTACAGTATTCATGTCATGTCTGCACTACAGTATTCATGTCATGTCTGCACTACAGTATTCATGTCATGTCTGCCCTACAGTATTCATGTCATGTCTGCACTACAGTATTCATGTCATGTCTGCACTACAGTATTCATGTCATGTCTGCACTACAGTATTCATGTCATGCCTGCACTACAGTATATATGTCATGCCTGCACTACAGTATTCATGTCTGCACTACAGTATTCATGTCATGTCTGCACTACAGTATTCATGTCATGTCTGCACTACAGTATATATGTCATGTCTGCACTACAGTATTCATGTCATGCCTGCACTACAGTATATATGTCATGCCTGCATACAGTATTCATGTCATGTCTGCACTACAGTATTCATGTCATGTCTGCACTACAGTATTCATGTCATGCCTGCACTACAGTATTCATGTCATGCCTGCACTACAGTATTCATGTCATGTCTGCACTACAGTATTCATGTCATGTCTGCACTACAGTATTCATGTCATGTCTGCACTACAGTATTCATGTCATGTCTGCACTACAGTATATATGTCATGTCTTCACTACAGTATTCATGTCATGTCTGCACTACAGTATATATGTCATGCCTGCACTACAGTATTCATGTCATGTCTGCACTACAGTATATATGTCATGCCTGCACTACAGTATTCATGTCATGTCTGCACTACAGTATATATGTCATGTCTGCACTACAGTATATATGTCATGCCTGCACTACAGTATTCATGTCATGTCTGCACTACAGTATATATGTCATGTCTGCACTACAGTATTCATGTCATGTCTGCACTACAGTATTCATGTCATGTCTGCACTACAGTATATATGTCATGTCTGCGCTACAGTATTCATGTTTAGTCTGATTGAACTGACGGCAGACTGTGTTCAATGCTGACTGTATATCTCCAAGATGACAAACATTTGTTTGTGTGTTTCAGAGGACCTGTGTGTTGGCTATGCCCTGACAGTGGCCTACCTCATGATCACCGTTGCTCTCATCTATGGAGTCGTAAGGGTAAGCTTTCCGTGACCTTGACTTTCAACACCAACCAGGGACATCATCTATATTTAGTTTCATCCAATTCCAATCATAAGTGCTAATTTGTTCTCTAGTGATCTTTAAGTTGATCATTTTCATCAGATTACATTCATAAATATCCAAGTCTCCCTCTACACAAACTTTTTTGATGCCCTCTTTCATACTGACCTTCAAGGTCATCCAATTATAATTTTTTTCAGAAATAGCGCGGGTGTTGTTTGTACTGAGTATTTGCTGGGGACAGTCAGAATAAGCCCTGAAACATATACTTCAGAACCACTATACACATGCATCAATCTGTGGGCGTACATCACATCCACATGCAATGAAATATTTCCTTCCCAGCGTCACCCAAATACATTCAGGGATGGAGTATTGGTTGTTATATGAGATGTCAATTTTGCACAGCCTTTTTAAGGATGTCATTCAACTGTACAAGCTTTGAAACCATTTACCTGTGTGTGTGTTAGTAAACATGAATTACGTCTTACTCATAACATACCTATGAGCGCTTCGCATTGTACATAAAACATAGTTAGAAACAAACACATACATGGTAAGTAACTATGCACTCCCTTACTCATTCTTAAATGAAGGTATATAGTGCTGGATTTCTGTATGCCTTAATCTACTGATCTAGTTAGAACTTGCTGACCTAGTTAAATATATAAATGGCTGCAATTATATTACTATTTATTGACTCATTTAGATAAATATTAAAACTTTGTAACACTATGACTGATCATACAAATAAGTTCAAGTATGCAATAACGATATATATATGAAACACATTACTGACCTTTAAGGATGATCTCAGTGATGAAATATGACACAGAGCAAATGTGGATAGTCAAGGTGTGTAGTGGCTGGTGTGCTGGTTCAATGTAGAGTGTTGAGGAAATATTTCAAACAAGGCCAATCAGGCATAAGCTGACTTCACGGACCCCAGTACTGGAGTGACCCAAGCCGTCAGCCCCCAACACGACTAGCATGAGCTGACTAAAAGAAAACTCCACACACAGATAAGTCATTATTCTGCTGAAAGCAGTGCTGTAGAGTACAGCAGCTGTACAGGTTTATTCAATTTAATGCAACAGTAAAACGTATAAACATCATTTCATTACAAAACTTACAATATATGTAGAACACAGAATGTACACAAATAAATACAACACTGCCACACAATACTGGGTGTATTCTTGATCGGTCGTGTGTGTATGGCTGATCAGTCGTGTGTGTATGGGAGATCGGTCGTGTGTGTATGGCTGATCAGTCGTGTGTGTATGGGAGATCAGTTGGGTGTGTATGGTTGATCGGTCGTGTGTGTATGGCTGATTGGTCGTGTGTGTATGGCTGATCGGTCAGGTGTGTATGGTTGATCAGTCGTGTGTGTATGGGAGATCAGTCGGGTGTGTATGGTTGATCGGTCAGGTGTGTATGGCTGATCGGTCGGGTGTGTATGGTTGATCGGTCAGGTGTGTATGGCTGATCGGTCGGGTGTGTATGGTTGATCGGTCGGGTGTGTATGGCTGATCGGTCGGGTGTGTATGGCTGATCGGTCAGGTGTGTATGGTTGATCGGTCAGGTGTGTATGGCTGATCGGTCGGGTGTGTATGGCTGATCGGTCGGGTGTGTATGGGAGATCGGTCGGGTGTGTATGGCTGATCGGTCGGGTGTGTATGGCTGATCGGTCAGGTGTGTATGGCTGATCGGTAGGGTGTGTATGGCTGATCGGTCGGGTGTGTATGGGAGATCAGTTGGGTGTGTATGGTTGATCGGTCAGGTGTGTATGGCTGATCGGTCGGGTGTGTATGGTTGATCGGTCAGGTGTGTATGGCTGATCAGTAGGGTGTGTATGGCTGATCGGTCGTGTGTGTATGGTTGATCGGTCGGGTGTGTATGGTTGATCGGTCAGGTGTGTATGGCTGATCGGTCGTGTGTGTATGGTTGATCGGTCGTGTGTGTATGGTTGATCGGTCGGGTGTGTATGGGAGATCGGTCGTGTGTGTATGGTTGATCGGTCAGGTGTGTATGGCTGATCGTTCGGGTGTGTATGGTTGATCGGTCAGGTGTGTATGGCTGATCAGTAGGGTGTGTATGGCTGATCGGTCGTGTGTGTATGGTTGATCGGTCGGGTGTGTATGGTTGATCGGTCAGGTGTGTATGGCTGATCGGTCGTGTGTGTATGGTTGATCGGTCGGGTGTGTATGGTTGATCGGTCGGGTGTGTATGGGAGATCGGTCGTGTGTGTATGGTTGATCGGTCAGGTGTGTATGGCTGATCGTTCGGGTGTGTATGGTTGATCGGTCGGGTGTGTATGGTTGATCGGTCGTGTGTGTATGGTTGATCGGTCGGGTGTGTATGGGAGATCGGTCAGGTGTGTATGGCTGATCGTTCGGGTGTGTATGGTTGATCGGTCGGGTGTGTATGGTTGATCGGTCGTGTGTGTATGGTTGATCGGTCAGGTGTGTATGGGAGATCAGTCAGGTGTGTATGGGAGATCAGTCAGGTGTGTATGGGAGATCGGTCGTGTGTGTATGGTTGATCGGTCGTGTGTGTATGGTTGATCGGTAGGGTGTGTATGGGAGATCAGTCAGGTGTGTATGGGAGATCAGTCAGGTGTGTATGGGAGATCAGTCAGGTGTGTATGGGAGATCAGTCAGGTGTGTATGGGAGATCAGTCAGGTGTGTATGGGAGATCGGTCAGGTGTGTATGGGAGATCAGTCAGGTGTGTATGGGAGATCAGTCAGGTGTGTATGGGAGATCAGTCAGGTGTGTATGGTTGATCGGTCGTGTGTGTGTGGGAGATCAGTCAGGTGTGTATGGCTGATCGTTCGGGTGTGTATGGGAGATCGGTCAGGTGTGTATGGGAGATCAGTCAGGTGTGTATGGTTGATCGGTCAGGTGTGTATGGTTGATCGGTCAGGTGTGTATGGTTGATCGGTCGGGTGTGTATGGTTGATCGGTCAGGTGTGTATGGCTGATCGGTCGGGTGTGTATGGGAGATCGGTCAGGTGTGTATGGGAGATCAGTCGTGTGTGTATGGGAGATCGGTCGTGTGTGTATGGCTGATCAGTCGTGTGTGTATGGGAGATCAGTTGGGTGTGTATGGTTGATCGGTCGTGTGTGTATGGCTGATCGGTCGTGTGTGTATGGCTGATCGGTCAGGTGTGTATGGTTGATCAGTCGTGTGTGTATGGGAGATCAGTTGGGTGTGTATGGTTGATCGGTCAGGTGTGTATTGCTGATCGGTCGGGTGTGTATGGTTGATCGGTCAGGTGTGTATGGCTGATCGGTCGGGTGTGTATGGTTGATCGGTCAGGTGTGTATGGCTGATCGGTCGGGTGTGTATGGCTGATCGGTCGTGTGTGTATGGTTGATCGGTCAGGTGTGTATGGCTGATCGGTCGCGTGTGTATGGCTGATAGGTCGGGTGTGTATGGGAGATCGGTCGGGTGTGTATGGCTGATCGGTCGGGTGTGTATGGCTGATCGGTCAGGTGTGTATGGCTGATCGGTCGGTTGTGTATGGGAGATCAGTTGGGTGTGTATGGTTGATCGGTCAGGTGTGTATGGCAGATCAGTCAGGTGTGTATGGGAGATCAGTCAGGTGTGTATGGGAGATCAGTCAGGTGTGTATGGGAGATCAGTCAGGTGTGTATGGGAGATCGGTCAGGTGTGTATGGGAGATCAGTCAGGTGTGTATGGGAGATCAGTCAGGTGTGTATGGGAGATCAGTCAGGTGTGTATGGTTGATCGGTCGTGTGTGTGTGGGAGATCAGTCAGGTGTGTATGGCTGATCGTTCGGGTGTGTATGGGAGATCAGTTGGGTGTGTATGGTAGATCAGTCAGGTGTGTATGGTTGATCGGTCAGGTGTGTATGGTTGATCGGTCAGGTGTGTATGGTTGATCGGTCAGGTGTGTATGGTTGATCGGTCAAATGTGTATGGCTGATCGGTCGGGTGTGTATGGGAGATCGGTCAGGTGTGTATGGGAGATCAGTCGTGTGTGTATGGGAGATCGGTCGTGTGTGTATGGCTGATCAGTCGTGTGTGTATGGGAGATCAGTTGGGTGTGTATGGTTGATCGGTCGTGTGTGTATGGCTGATCGGTCGTGTGTGTATGGCTGATCGGTCAGGTGTGTATGGTTGATCAGTCGTGTGTGTATGGGAGATCAGTTGGGTGTGTATGGTTGATCGGTCAGGTGTGTATTGCTGATCGGTCGGGTGTGTATGGTTGATCGGTCAGGTGTGTATGGCTGATCGGTCGGGTGTGTATGGTTGATCGGTCAGGTGTGTATGGCTGATCGGTCGGGTGTGTATGGCTGATCGGTCGTGTGTGTATGGTTGATCGGTCAGGTGTGTATGGCTGATCGGTCGCGTGTGTATGGCTGATAGGTCGGGTGTGTATGGGAGATCGGTCGGGTGTGTATGGCTGATCGGTCGGGTGTGTATGGCTGATCGGTCAGGTGTGTATGGCTGATCGGTCGGTTGTGTATGGGAGATCAGTTGGGTGTGTATGGTTGATCGGTCAGGTGTGTATGGCTGATCGGTCGGGTGTGTATGGTTGATCGGTCGGGTGTGTATGGCTGATCGGTAGGGTGTGTATGGCTGATCGGTCGTGTGTGTGTGGGAGATCAGTCAGGTGTGTATGGCTGATCGGTCGGGTGTGTATGGTTGATCGGTCAGGTGTGTATGGCTGATCGGTAGGGTGTGTATGGCTGATCGGTCGTGTGTGTGTGGGAGATCAGTCAGGTGTGTATGGCTGATCGGTCGGGTGTGTATGGGAGATCGGTCAGGTGTGTATGGCTGATCGGTCAGGTGTGTATGGCTGATCGGTTGGGTGTGTATGGTTGATCGGTCAGGTGTGTATGGGAGATCGGTCGGGTGTGTATGGTTGATCGGTCAGGTGTGTATGGTTGATCGGTCAGGTGTGTATGGTGTGTATGGCTGATCAGTCGGGTGTGTATGGGAGATCGGTCGGGTGTGTATGGGAGATCGGTCGGGTGTGTATGGGAGATCGGTTGGGTGTGTATGGGAGATTGGTCTGGTGTGTATGGGAGATCGGTCGGGTGTGTATGGCTGATCGGTCGGGTGTGTATGGCTGATCGGTCGGGTGTGTATGGGAGATTGGTCGGGTGTGTATGGGAGATCGGTCGGGTGTGTATGGCTGATCGGTCGGGTGTGTATGGGAGATCGGTCGGGTGTGTATGGTTGATCGGTCGGGTGTGTATGGCTGATCGGTCAGGTGTGTATGGTTGATCGGTCAGGTGTGTATGGTTGATCGGTTGGGTGTGTATGGGAGATCGGTCGGGTGTGTATGGGAGATCGGTCATGTGTGTATGGGAGATCGGTTGGGTGTGTCACAGACTTGTTTATGCTGTGGTACATGAAACCATCATAGACCTACAACCTATATTTTAGCTGTTGTACATGAACTGTCACTGACCCATGACTGTTGTTTATGCTGTTGTACATGTTCCAGACCCGGCCTGGCTACCTGATGCCGTTCTTCTGCCTGCAAGTGTTTGACTTCTGTCTCAATTGCCTCACGGTGGTGGGCTACTTCACCTACGCCCCCAACATCAAGTTCTGGATCAGAGAACAAGGACTGGTCAGTACTGCTGGTGAACAAATACCAATAACTAGTTGGACAACATGGCTTTGAATGTGCTACATCACCCTTTCCTAACATGGAGTTGACATACTGTGGGATAAATGTAATATACTGTGGGATAAATGTAATATACTGTGGGATAAATGTAATATACTGTGGGATAAATGTAATATACTGTGGAATAAATGTAATATACTGTGGGATAAATGTAATATACTGTGGGATAAATGAAATATACTGTAGGGTAAATGTAATATACTGTGGAATAAATGTAATATACTGTGGGATAAATGTAATATACTGTGGGATAAATGGATAAATGTAATATACTGTGGGATAAATGTAATACCGTATATGACCGCGGATAAGCCGACCCCGTAGATAAGCCGAGGTGTTAATTTGACCATTGAAATACGAAAGAAAATGATATGACCCGCAGATAAGCCGAATCAGGAATTGAAAGACAAAAAACACTGCGAAGTCAGACTGCAAGACATGTGCCGGTACTCGCAAATATTCAAAAATATAAGATGAAAAACATTGTAATTATATTGAAAAAGTCATTATTATTTCTAAAAAAGATTTAACAAACCAGTCATCCACTTTCATAATGTGGGAAGCTGTTTCTCGTGGGTTTTTTTAATCTCATAATGATCGTTTTATGTTGCCATCGACAACCAAGCGCCATTTTGTGAATCGGTGTATATACAATTATGAACCCGTGAGAAAATATATCAGCTGGCGCGAAGACTCGCAGTTTGAATTCAGCATCGTAAGCATGGCGTTTTTGTTTAAAACTCATGATGAAAATGTCAGTCTGTAAAAATATACCAACTTTTATAACCCCCTTTACACCACTATTGTATGTTAATCCAATTGAATTAAATAAACTATCATACTATGAACACATTGAATGACCATCACTTACTCACAGGCTTCTCCAGTTTATTAAACTAATCTCTCGAAAACAAAGGAATTAAGCCCCTACTCCCAACACGATCGCTAAGCACCCACAACTTGAAAATGTTTGTGTAAACAACATGACAAATACCAATCGGCCCGTTATTATCAATGCTCATTTCCTTGTGTACCGTGTTGCTTTAAACAACAGGAAGCAATCACAGTGGTCACCGTTCGTGACGTCACAGGTAACAGCTGATCACATGTTTTTGCAAATGGCGAACGGAATAACTTGCCGATACAGTTGTTTATTTGCCGCTTTCAATAAAGGTAGACACTTGTTCACTATCAATTTATGAACTTTGCAAAACGTACGTAATAGCTATTGGCGATTTTATCTGGGGATTATATATTATAGCTGTGAATTACATATATTGTTACATGTAAAGATTGTGGAGTTAACGAAGAACGATAAACTTTGAACATTCAATTGAAAACTTATTATCGGAAGGAGTAACATGCATAACATTTTTTTAATAATGACAACATTGGTGTATAATAATAACTTTATTGATAATTTATAAGAATAATGGCTCTAGTCGTGGCAACTTCCAAACTTTCGGGAAGTTGTAATCTATCGGACCGTCATTCAGCCGATGTTTCTGACAGATCACGATCTGAAAAATACTATCATGAAAGTGTATCCCGTGGATAAGCCGACCCCTTTCTACAGAATCTTTTTTCTGGTCCTCAAAATTCGGCTTATACGCGGTCATATACGGTATACTGTGGGATAAATGTAATATACTGTGGAATAAATGTAATATACTGTGGGATAAATGTAATATACTGTGGGATAAATGTAATATACTGGTATCTGACGTAGAAGTTACTTTACATTGCTTCTGTTGTGTAAAAGATGGACTTCTTTTCATGACATCTATTGATAACAAGCTAACCGTGCTGTTGTAAATGCATTGTGTTATCATGGTCGTATATATGTTGATAACATTAACAGGCTAACCATGCTGTTGTAACTGAGTTGTGTTATCATGGTCGGTATATGTTGATAACAGGCTAACTTCCCTGGGATGGACCGTGTGTTGGAGATGAACTCGGACTGGCTGATGCTGGTTTTCATCACAATCTTCATCATCATTCTCTGCATCAAGGTGAGCAAGACAAATGTGGAAACTGTCATGTATCAGTATTGACATCTTGAACATCTAGTCACTTTGTCAGGGGGATTATTTTTCATCTGACATGATAATATGTTTTCCAAACTTACAAGGCAAAGTTTTTCACAATGATGTTGACAATGACTTGTGTTGTACTTGAGTAACAGGTTCAGTTGCTGTCAATTGTACCCTGTGGCGGCAGCTCAGATCGGAAGTTAAGGTTCCAATGTGATTTTGTGGGAAATGTGTAAAACTGGAATGGAGTAGCCAGTGTTGGCTGTCTGTCTGCAGGCCTCCTGTTTTTACTCTCCTGTGAGCACCAGGTTTGGTGCTTGTCATTTAACACAACGAAATGAGTCGGGTTGTCAGGCTTCTGTTGTAACTTAGCTGATCAGAACAACTAAGCTGCTGTAAACATGTTTCAAATATTCTTGGATCAACTTGTTTGGGAGTGGTCCTTACACTCACATTTTATACATTGAGGAAAATCGTGCAGAAAAACTAACAATGTGCTGTGTTTCAGGCGTACCTGATCGGCGTGGTGTGGGCCTGCTACAAGTATCTGCAGATGCGACATGCCTCAAGGACCATGGTCCGTGAATACAACGTGGACCCAGACACAGAGGTAAGAGACTCAGGATTGTACAAGCTTTTCCATTGTACCGATAGCTTTAGGATTACAGTGACATTTCATTAAACTCTGATCTATGACACATTAAGTCATGCTTTACTCTCCATGTCAAGGTCACACAAATCCCTCATCTTGAAGTCAGTTCTGATGTACATGGTTGAATGGTTCAATTGTGATGTTGTGTTTATTGCAGCAGATGCTTCTTCCCCCCAAGTATGAGGATGCCATCAAGATGCCCATCGACCCCAACATGCCACCCCCCTACACAGCCAACTAAACTCTGTGTTTCCCTTCACAGTCCAATGATAGAACCGGGCCTCAACTTGCTTTGAGATGCAGAAGGGATTATTATCGAGTATATAAACAATGTTTTTATTCATTTCTAGTTCATATGTAGGTTTTAATTGCCCGGATCTTATGAAATTGGATTTCCATGATGTATGTTAAACTGTGAAGCGAGGGGTATTGTATTTTTGTGGGTATAGTTTGTGGGTATTTTATGAGGCAATCAATTGTTGATGTGATTTTGTGGTTATTGATACAATGGGGGATTTTTGAAATTTTGTATTCAAGCAAAATGTATTTTAGTGATTTTGGTTACACTTCACTTGTTGCTTGTGGCACAGGCAGTTACCATGGTTACAGTTGTAGTGGTTACCATGGTTACTAACCTACTAACTACCTAACCTGGGCTTTCACAATAATGTAAACAATATTCATCAAAAACATCTTAGCATTAAGTTAGTTTGTTGTAATTTAGAATATATTTCACCGAGTACAATACTGTCTCTTTCTAACTGTGCCTTTCGATCGTATATGTGCACAACCACTCGGATGTTTTTATGCATAATGTTTGAGAACCAAGGCTAATTCACACAGAGGATAGCTTCGTTTGTAATATTTTTGTAACATTAAGGTCTCTTGAGGTTGCAGCAACTGACAGTATGAGGTGTATTTTCTTCACCGTTTTCTCAGCACTACTTCTAGATATCGTGATGGTGGGGGTGGGGGGGGGGGGGTGGGGGGGAGGGGGGGGATGTTGTAGAGCTGTCCGATGCTTCGGCTGTTGTATATATTTGTAGCCTGTGTTGTCAAACAGAAGGCCTGTCCTCTTAGTGTTCAGATTGACTAAACGCAATGACTTTGTCAGACTTAAAAATAAAATATTTTATGTGATTGACTTTTCGAGATTTATTTTTTTGAAAAGTTGTCATTTGTAAAGTATAACACAAAACAGGATTGAATTTATGATGTGGGGTTCCATGTTTTAGATGTAAATGGGCTCCTATTGCCTGACTGAGACACATGTATTGTGAATTAACCAACTGGTTCTAGTTTTCGTCCATGATAACTTAAGTATCAGCAAATCGGTGAACTCTGAAGGAAGATTGGAACAGTATTGTGCTTCTTTTGTTCGTGTGAGGGATAAAAAATCTAATCTGGATTTTTTTGGACTGGGAACGTGTGGTGCTCTTCCTTAATGTATAAAAAGTATTGTGACTTATTGTGACATACAGAAATAAAATCTCTTATTCTCAAACAGACTTGTTGTAACAAGATTGATGGAGTACTTCTGGTTTGTCTGGAGTCGGGGGAAGATTTCCAGGCTGCCATCATATAGTTGGAATGTTGCCAAGTGCAGTGTTAAACAACAAACACCCAGAGACATCCTCAGCTATCCAGTATTCTAGTGCTCCATTTTTAGCTCACCTGACTGAAAGTCAAGTGATGTTGTGTCCTGTCCTGTGTGTCAGGTCTTTGTTCCCCACCATGGGTGGTCCGGTGTCCTGTGTCCTGTGTGTCAGGTCTTTGTTCCCCACCATGGGTGGTCCGGTGTCTGGTGTCCGGTGTCCTGTGTCCTGTGTGTCAGGTCTTTGTTCCCCACCATGGGTGGTCCGGTGTCCGGTGTCTGGTGTCCTGTGTCCCAGGTCTTTGTTCCCCACCATGGGTGGTCCGGTGCCTGGTGTCCGGTGTCCGGTGTCCTGTGTGTCAGGTCTTTGTTCCCCACCATGGGTGGTCCGGTGTCTGGTGTCCATCATTCATCCTGAACGTCTCAGAAACAAACCAGGAGGCCAATGAAGCTGAAACTTCATCTACTTGATCCATCCAATGATGCCCCCAATTGGAGTTTCAAATCTCATTTTCAAGATGGCTCCCCCAGCAGCCATATTGTAAAAACTATGTAATGAAATTTGGTAAGTGTGTTTTAGTAGTGGGGTTCAACATATGTGACCAACCAGGAGATGAGGGACCTTATGTGTGAAAAATCACATTTTGACTTTTCATTATAAACTTGACCTATAAAGTTGACATAAAACGTCTTTTTTTTGTCATAGCACAATTGTATTCTAGCAACCATAAGGTCCCTTGTCTCCTGGTGGGTGACATTTATGTTCCGTATGTTTGAAAACATGTCAAGATTCATGATTCAAGAAAGCTTTGATATGAAAACACGCAATGCTGGGATTGCTTTTGGCATCCTGAAGACACAAGGTGAAACAAGTAAACATGTCCTGCTTGACTGGGGAGCACCCGCCACCCACACCATGTTTGTATACAATGTAAGTGCCAGTGAGGAGGTGGGACATTTCTGGTTAAGGCCACAACACAGATAGCATCATGTTGACAAGCAAAGTGTCATTTTTAGCAAGTGTCTCTGATTGTATATCATGAAGCTTTGCGAATGACAACTGGGCTTTAGATGGTGAAAACTTGATTGAAGAGCTTTGTTGTAAGCAACTTGAATATATTGTAATGTTCTAAAGTGCCTTAGTAATTGAGATTCAAAATCATTCCACTTGTTGCACAGTTCGGTACAGAGGCTGCCATCTTTGTTAGCTTCCATGCACAGATCCAGATAAGATATTGAATGTGGCCGCTGTGGATTCCTCTCTTCAAACAGTCGATGCATGGACTCATTTGAAACTCCCCCTGAGAAAATGGTTTCAACCGGTACAGAAATATGATATTTTATATGCAATGAGTATGACATATAATAAATAATAAAATAAAAGTGACAAAGCTCTGTCCATAATAAAAAGAAACCTCCTCTAAAAGATCAGTTCGTTATGCGATTCTGACAATATTACCACTATCAAATAATGACGATACCAAGTGTTCGCCAAACCACGGCACCCCTCACAAAAGCTAGTCAGTTTTTAACCTGAATAAAAGGACAAGGGAAGATAAAGTACAAGTCAAAAGAGACATCATTTAGCCAACAAAGAAACTTATTTAAAGGCGCCCTCTCTTCATATCCCCGCATCACGTCTTTCATGTCGTCGTGCCCAGGAAACTTATATCACAGACACTGAACACCATCTCACATGGTTGACTTCCCGGGACCGAATGGGTTTGCGACTGTTCTTTATTCCGTGCAGATCCAGACCAGTATATTGATGATCCATCTTGATGTTCAACATCCACAGATTTGGTACGGTAGCCAAGTATGTAATGCGTTCGGTAGTCACGCCGAATGCCCGGGTTCGATTTCCCGCAGGGGTACAGGATGTGGAGCCTACTTCTGCTGTCCCCTAATTGACATTTGACAAGCAGTAATATTGCTGGATTATTGTAAAAGCGATGTAAAACAACACCCACTGACATTCTTAGTGGATCTTCTTAAAATAATCTTTAATCTCCCAACAAATATTATCAGATATTCCTTCTTCATTAAAAAAAACTCCAATCCCTTGCTGCCAATTGATCAACATAATCACACGTTTGTTCAGAAACCCCACATACCCAGTACATGCGACCATTGGGTACTTAAAGACTGAAGAGTCAGTATAACGACAAGAGTGAAAAAATCGGTGAGAAAGCCAATAATCGACAAGACAACTGGATTCGAACAACACACCTACGAAATCGATTCCAGCCAGCAACAGTGACTGCAGGAAGCATCCCTGGCCTTCGACGAATATCTTCACAAACCGTACGTCGTCGCCTCAGATGTGCAGTGATTGTCGCCAGAAGACCCGCGAGACGTCCCATTTTGACAGGAGACGACCGTCAAGCACTTCACAGTGGTGCAGACAGCGTCTACGCTGGACGGTCATGCGCTGGGGACAAATTCTATTCACTGACTAGTCTCGCTTTCACCTCAGCCACAGCGATGAACAGATTCGAGTGTACCGACGTCGAGGTGAACGTTACGTCAATCATTGTGTCATGGAAGAAGATCGGTTCGGGGGCGGCAGCGTTATGGTATTGGGTGAGATAGAGGACCCGTTTGATAGTGGTAGAGGGAAATCTCAATGGACAGCGCTACCGCGACGAGATCGTCAGCCCTATTGTCCTACCGTTTTTGCGTCGTCATGGCCCAGGCATTAGCTTTCAACATGACAACGCCGGGCCTCGTATAATGCTCGACTTGTTCAGGATTCTCTTCAACAAAACAACGTGAATATCATCCCCTGGCCGGCTCGCTCCCCTGATCTCTCACCAATCGATCACATATGAGATGAGATGGATCGGCGCCTTCGACGTCAACCATGTGTTCAACAGACACTCCAGGAACTTCGAAACATGCTCCAGCAGATATGGACAGATATCCCACAGGACTAGTCCATTCCATGAGACGAAGATGTGTTGCTTGCATCGCAGCCAGAGGTGGACACACACGCTATTGATTTGTAAATTGACATTTTTGCATGTTCATGTGGGTTTTTTTTATGAAATCACACATTTTCTGAAGTCAGTATTGCAAATTAAACCATTTGAACACTTACAAGAGTATTTCCGAAAACCGAAATTGTTTCTGATTTGGTAAAAAAATATAACTTTGCATTAAATCTTATTCAATGCCACAGGAACTTTTGTTGTTCAGTATATGTAACAATGAGTGTCCCCTGTGCTATGATCTAGCATCTGACAAGCCATGAAAGCAGAAAGCTGTCAAGAAATATATCACTGTCCAATATTTGGAATATATGGGAACTGATCACTTGATGCATTGAAATGGTCTGCAATGCTACAAGAATTGTTGAAGCATATGTATAATCACGTGGAAAAGTGTGTTTTGGGGTGTGTTTCTTTTAAATGAAACTGTCCATATACCGCTTACTTCTCAGTGATGGGGCAGGGGACACTGCTTGCTACCGTCACATCAACAAAACGATTTCATTTCATAATGCGTTGGCTATATATAAATACAGAATCACACATATCAGTTTTGATGACAGCCTAAACTAAATTCAAAACGTCAGTGCCAGAGAAGGACCCGAACATTCCACGATATCCTAAATCAAACTGAAACAGAAGTATGCTGGCATAGAATTAGCAGTAACTCCGCACATGTGAAGTTTGACAGAACTGTTGTTCAACGTTCGTACCGAGGTTGTTAGCTCCTAGTTTGGTTCAAGGAGCATTAACGGTTATACATGCTATATAACACAATAACATCCTGTATGCAAATCATAAGAGCCGGTGATATATAACACAAATAACATCCTGTATGCAAAGTATTAGAGCTGGTGTAATATAACACAATAACATCCTGTATGCAAAGTATCAGAGCTGGTGTAATATAACACAATATCATCCTGTATGCAAAGTATTAGAGCTGGTGTAATATAACACAATAACATCCTGTATGCAAAGTATCAGAGCTGGTGTAATATAACACAATATCATCCTGTATGCAAAGTATCAGAGCTGGTGTAATATAACACAATAACATCCTGTATGCAAAGTATTAGAGCTGGTGTAATATAA